GTCGGTTACTGAATAGACAAATGTTGAAAACATGTTTGCTGTGCAGATTTGGATTACATGACTTGAAACAGAATAGATATATGGTAGATATATGGTAAGTCATGTTTTGAACCATATGGAATCATAAAACATGTTTGCTGTGCAGATAACCAACCAATCATAAAACATGTTTGCTGTCAGATTGAGATTGAACCATAAAACATGTTTGTTGTGCAGATTCGGACATGGATCTACATGATTTGAACCCAGCACTACTATTCTAACATTTGTTTATTGAAAACATGACTTACCACATTTGTTCATGTTTACTGAATAGATTGTAAAAGACAAACCAATGACTTTAACCAAACATAGGCCTACTAACCGATTCTGTTTCAAATGTTAAAACATGACTTTAACCAATAGAGTATTTGACTTTTCTACGCCAATTTAGTGTTGAAAACATGACTTTAATCGCTGCCAATTTAGTGTTGAAAACATGACTTTAATTGCTAGGTTCAATAGAATTGATTTGGGTAATTGAAAACATGACTTTAGTATTTCTCATTTATTTGGGTAATTGTTCTTCTTCTTGAAGTCTCAAAAAGCCTCCACCTTTATGCTAATGAAGTCTCAAAAAGTCTCCACCTTTATGCTACTAATGTGTCTCTTTGGCATTCATGAATTCAGATTTGGCCAGAGCATTGGCTGCTCCAGATACAGACCATCCAAATGGAACACCAAGCCATAAGAATTATGGGTTGAGTGTTCTTCAACAACATGTGGCCTTTTTTGACATGGATGACAATGGAATCATTTACCCTTGGGAGACATATACTAGTAATTTGCATGCATTTACTTTGTCATGCTATCATTTGCTTCCTACTGGACCATAACTTCACCTTTCTGAAAATAAAATAATGAGGAAAGAAAGACAGAAAATTTGATTTGATTGTTTTTGTGCATTTTGTCAAGATGAAACTGTTGGTCAAGGGCTATGGCCTTGACTATTCAAGTTTCCCAAGTTTTGTCTTTGGCCATGCCAATATGGTGGCTGGTTGAATCACTTTGCTGCCCAGAAAAATGCCGGGTCACGAGTTGTCTCACACTACGTTTGGATGGGGTGGTTTGGTGAGAAATGATGCAAAAGTGAACTCTTTTTTCATTTTCAATTTATCAATTGTTTATAAATTGAGTGAGAAATAGTGAGAAAGAGAATTTGTTTACTAAGGCTGTGTTTGGAGATTTGGAAATGGAAAGAGAAAAGGGATTTAGAGAGAGATTTGGAAATGAAAAAGGGAAAAGATAAGTGAAATGTGGGAAAAATATAATTACATTTCACACATCTTTCCTCTCTCTTTCCAAATCCCTTTTCAAAATTCATGAACCAAAGCAAGTCTGTTTCCTCTTTCTTTTTCCCTTCTCGAAATATGATTTCAATTGTTGCCATAACAGGATGTGATATGTAGTTTAGAATGGGAGGCTATTGCCATCTTGATGAGGGCATAATTTCTGAAACTAAGATGACAATGATCCACGCTGGTATGTACCCTTTTAAATTTTTTTTTAACAATCAGTAGGAGGGGGAAGTTGCATCTCGCAACAGGTAAGACTCGAACCCAAACATCACCCCTGGCAAGGGAGCACCTCATCTACTGACCCAATCCTTGGTCTTACTCTGGTACATACTTTATAGAGTCAAATTTGAGAAAGTAAAGAGTCAGTATTGTAACTTTATTGTCCTGACTGTGGCATGAAAAACTCCCTTTCCCTTTCAATAGTTTAGCAAACTCCTAAACAGCCTCGCTAAGTTGGAACAATTAGAAATTCTAATTCATAGTCAAATGTGAAGCATGGCATGAATCTCTCGCTATTACAAATCTAGCAAGTTTGAGTTAAAATTAGACTGTCTTTTTGGAGTTCTTTTCAAGAATTCAGTGGTTCCTCTTGCACTGAATATTTTATATCACTGCTGCAATTGGATACATAATAACGGCATCTATTAGTATGGTGTGAGTATAATTTTAATGGACTTGCTTTTCGGTTTTGAATCTCCTTATTTGTCTTTTATTGTCTTATTTATAGTAGGGGGAGAATTCTTCCCAATCCACTGTGTGAGTTGGAGGCTTTGTGCGGTGTAGATATACCATAAAATGATTTAATTTGTTTATTTGTTATTTGTAAATTATTCATAAACAGAATTATATTAATTTAGTAATTATAATTATGTGATTTTATATATAAAAAAAATTGTGGATTATTTTTAAAATTATACTTATCGTCTATTTTTGTAAGACAAATATATATGATGAAATAATGTAGTTATAATTATCTTATCAATCTAATTTTTCTCATAAATAATTTATACATAGGATTTGAAAAATGAATAATTCAAATTATCATAATAAAACTATATAACTAATTTAGTCTCTGCCATTGTGTGATCTTTTTATATTTTAGTGCAAGCAACAATGTTATGAAATGCAGAGGGTTAATGACCATGTTGGCTATGCATTAAAGTGGTACATGAATAATATGATGGCTGAAATTTGGTTTTCAAATTAAATTTATTTTTTGAATCTTTTATTTTTGTCTTTAATAAATTTTTTTCATGTTTTAAATTTTTTATTACACGCATTTCATTCATATCTTTCCAGTGTCAAATATTTTAAAAAATTCACTCCCTACTCTTTGAAAAGAAAAAAAAAATTATACCGTGCCTTTAGACACGAACATACGCTTATATATATATATATATATATGATGTGACAATATTGACACCTAACTTGGCGCTCATAAATGTTGAAGTGAATGCAGAGTTGGTAACAGCTATCCTGTGAACCGTATGCCACCACGTCAACCCCCATTTCCTGAATCAGCCCAACAATCTCTCTCCGTATTATAACTATTTGGTTTTGGTATTGTTTAGGTTGTACTCTTTTATCTTGAGAAAAATGAGAGCCAAGTGGTTGGGCATATGTCTGGTTCAAAAAAAAAAAAAAAAGTGGTTGGGCATATGTGTTTCAATCCTTAATTTCTCATTTTCTTGTTTATTTTTTTGGAATAAATTACACAGACGTCTCTAAGATTTAGAAGAATTTTTTTTTTAAATAAATTTAACACAATTACACTCATATTTTCTTAAAATTTTAATTTATATAATCTTTAATGTCTTTTCATCACAAATTTATTAATCCTATGGACAAAAACATAATATTATCTCTTTAACCTTACTAGAAAAGAAGTTAATAGAATTATCTTTTTTCAAAATTGTGAGATTAATGTATTTTTTAAAAAATTTCGGGACAGATTAGTATGATTTATCTTTTTATCTTTTTTTCTTTTTTCTTTTTTTTAAGGTTATTACGTTGTCTCTCTTACAAAGTTTTTTTTCTTTAGTGCAATTTGGCCTACACAATGATATTTATCACATTTCTATTGTTTTCTTTTACCTAACAAAGGATTTCGATTCTTTTTATTATAAAGGAACGGGAATGAAGCATTCTCGAGTGTATAATGCATATAGTATATGAATCTATTAAAAAATTATATAAGTTTTTATGAATTTACATAAATTTATATTTAATTTAAGTATTTTTATAAGATTATTTATATAAATTCGTAAAAACTTATGTAATTTTTGTGATAGAGTTGCATACGATGTGTATTACACACCGAAACATTTTCGTAAATTTGTTTCCCAAAGATTTTCCCTCAATTCATTTTTCTTTTTTAGGTGACATTTCATTGATTTAAAGATGTTAAAATAATGAAAAATGTCACTATATATATATATATATAAGTGTCATACAAATGATGTGACTATTTTTAATTATTTTTTAGATGAACTACACCAACAACCGTAAAGAATTCATAAGTTTAACATAATTATTTTCACTTTCCTTTAGTAAAATTGTAGTAGTTGAAATTAATGAATATGATATTTAGGCTCATTTTGATAAATGGGTTAAAAGTCGCTTTTCAACTTTTAACATACTTCTTTCTCATACAAAATAAACTCAAAAAAATTAAAAAGTAATTTTTAACCATCTTTCCAAAATACCCATTAAACACAAAGATAAATGAGTATAAAATATATATTTTTGTATAAAATATCTAATTATATATATATGTATTTCTTTTATATAATTAACAAATTATGAATAAAAAATAATCAAAATATTGCGTAAATAAAAAACTCGTGTGGGCAAACTCAAGGGAGCCATGTATACATTAAACTTGGGGAGCTTGATTAAGTTCTACAGATCATGGAGATGTTAATGTAGTTGAGCCTTATTATTTTAATCACAATGATGAGTTTTTTAATAATGGGAAAGGCCTTCATTACACCCTACATGCACGTATTTTAATGATATACATCATCTATTTTTATAATAAATATTATCTTCCTTTTACGATAGAATTATGATAATTTATATTTTAAAAATAAAATTACTTATTTTTGTGACGTTTTTTTTTTTTTTTTTTCGGGAACAGTCTTTCCAGGAATAAAGGTTTCCCTAGTAAATGATACATGTGATGTGATATACCATTTTGGAAATGGCTTTTCTTTCGTCAATGATCGAACGATAGAGTATTATTGAGTATGTGAGGACTCATCACAAATCCTGTTTTGATAATCTAAATCGTTTAATATGTAAAATTTGTTGAGTATTATATGTCTATAAAAAAATCACGTCGATCGAATATCTATTGCAATTTGATCATATCATATTTTTGTAAGTCGTTTATTTTTTACCGTCCATTTTTTTTCATACAAAACTGATTTGATCACATAATTATCGATATTCGATCAACATGATTTTTTACACGTATATAGTATTTGACGAGTTCTACATATTGAACGGTTTGAATTATCCAAACAGGACTCGTGGTAGATCTCCATAGATCCAACAATTAGACTGAAGGGAAGCCATTCCGTACCAATTTTTTATGAAATTTTTTTTTCTTAAAAAATAATAATAATAAATAAAAAACCTCTATAAATAGGGCACATATACAAGTAGATGTGACGCTCACACGCAAAGAGAGAGTGAGAAAAGTTTGAGATTATTATAGTCGTAGGAAAGGAGGGAGAAGAAGGAAAGAAAAATGGAGGTGGAGAGAGTGCAAGCCATAGCTGCTTCATTGTCAAAGTGCATGGACAGCATACCAGCCGAGTACATTAGGTCAGAGACAGAGCAACCAGCAATCACCACCGTCAAAGGGAAGCTTCTAGAAGTACCGGTGATCGATCTTGGCGGCGGCGACAGAGACGAGGAGAGGGTGGTGAGGATGGTGGAGGAGGCTGGGAGAGAGTGGGGGATATTCCAGGTGGTGAACCATGGGATACCAGATGAATTGATAAGTAAATTGCAGAGATTGGGAAAGACTTTTTTGAGCTGCCACAGGAAGAGAAAGAGGTGTATGCTAAGGATGCTGAGTCTAAGAGCATTGAAGGGTATGGAAGTAAGCTTCAAAAGGAAGTTGAAGGGAAGAAAGGTTGGGTTGATCATTTGTTTCATAAGATTTGGCCTCCTTCTGCTATTAACTACCACTTCTGGCCTAAGAACCCTCCTTCTTACAGGTTTTTCCTTTTCACTTCTCCTTTTTTTTTTTTTTTTTTTTTTTAAAATTATTTTATTTTGCATAAGGTGGTAGCATCGTAGCGAGTAAGTGGTTAGATTACGATCAGTGCATTTTCATTTGCATTAATAGTTAAATGAATATTGTAGGAAGTTAGGGATTAGATTACAAATTGCTGCATTTTGATTTGCATTGATAGTTGTAGGAAGTTAGGGATTAGATTACAAATCGATGCATTTTGATTTGCATTGATGGTTAAACGAAGGTTCATGCTACACTTGTCACATCGGGGTGGGCTTTCCTTCCGTTCGACTGGAGGATACTGTTAGGCCTATACTATTAGGCCTATGGGGCCTATCATGATTCTGTTTTGATAATTCGAATCATTCAATGTGTAGAATTCGTTGAATATTATATGATTGTACAAAATCACGTTGATCGAATATTAATAGCTATTTTATTGGATCAGATTTTTATCTACCGTTTATGTTTTGACCCTTTTTTTTTTTAATACAAAACTATTTTGATCACCTAACTATCAATATCCGATTAACGTGATATTTTGCAAGCATATAATACTCAACTAGTTATACATATTGAACAATTTAAATTATCGAAACGAGACCCGTAATGAGTCTTCACTAACCCAACAGTACCTTTCAATCTGATCATAGACGGAGGGAAGCCAGCCCTATCAGATTTGGGCGTACTACTCTGATTGTATTATTTACTGTGTTAGCCTATCATCTAACATAAATATGGGGGATGATATCATTATATTAATGATGAGCTATCATATAAGATGATATAAAAAGATATTAAATGCAGCATTATTGATGACAGAATACTGCCTCATGACCCTTGAGTTACTCCCGAGTCTAATCTTGTAGAGTTATGCTTAGAATTCTAAATAAATTATTAAATCTCTCATATAAGTGTGAGATTTATACAAATATATTTATGTGAAAGATTTGATAATTTATTTAGTAATTTACTTGGGATCCATAGTATTTTCCAATCTTGTATGGTTTCATTTGGTTTGATTTTCTAAAACTATTTTCAAATTTTTTTTTTACAAAAATAAAAATTATTTTAACAAAAATAAATATTAGAAAAATATTTTTAAATTTTAAAAAATTACCATCTCAAAGTATAAAAAATATATAAAAATGACAATTTTTTCTTTTTTTTTTAAAGTTTTCATCAAATTAGTTTTTAATTTTTTTGTCTGAAAACAAATTCTAAAAACGAAAAACCAAACGGAGACCTTTTTTTAAATTTTTAGTGTATTTTTTTTTAGATGGGATTTTTAATGTATTTCAAAAAAATAGATTAATGCAAAATTAGCCCACATAAACTAAATCTATGCCACACACCACACTTTCCAGATAGGTTTAGTATATTTTCTGGGTTCATAACTTTTTTCTGAAACCAAATAGAGTGAGAGTGTGATTCAGACTTAGAAAAAGTTTATGCTTATTAAGAAACTACACTACATAATATTTTTATGTGAATATACCTAGATTTACTATTTCATTTCTGGCTAGTTTTTATTTTTGAGTTTTGTTAACAAATGTTATAGGTATTTGTTAATAAAATTTAAAATAATTATATATGTGACATTTACTTTTATTTAAAAGAAGTAGAATAATTTTAAACATGTTAACCAATAGGTATACTTGCTGACAATTTTATTAAATGGAATGGTTCTACAAGTAATTTACATTATGACTTTTTCTTCTTTTTTTTTCAAATTTAATAAAACTACAGCAATTTCTCACACTTAAATTACTTAATTGTAGATGTCAATATACTATTAGAAAAAAAAAAAAAAAACCTGAGTTTGATTATTATAACAAAATAAATCATGAATTTTAACTTTGTCAATTCATTTATCTTTAATCTAAACCATCAATTTATTTCCAATGTAATTGTATATAAAAAGTATAAAATATTAATTTTTTTATTAAGTTTAATGACAAAGTATACATATATTTTTTTGTTGTTAATTTTACTTAATAGAAATAGTAGATGGTTTGGATCGAAAACAAATCAAAAGTTTAGGCCTTAAATGAAAAAAAATTAAATTTTTAATTCTTATTTTTGTTATAAGGATCAAATCTTGATTTTATTTATCAATAATGACTTGGATCCCATTTTTTTCCCACCCCTTGACCCCCTCTTCACCTGATTGGTTATTATTTTTTTTTTTATTCCTTCTCCTCCAATCACCACTCGCCACGTGTCTGGGGTTGGTGGGAGTGGTGATTGGAGGGGTCTTAATCATCACCCTTTATTTATTTGTAATTTTCTCAATACTATTTTACTTGTAATTTTTTTTTATTTTCTAAAATATATATATATATATATATATAAATTATTCTCTCTCCAACCCCTCTTGTCTCCATCAAGGCCTTCCATATCACCGCAAGACCCGCCTGCATCATTAATTAACAATCTCCCGCGTAGCATAACCATCAACCATCACTCCATGAATTGGGTCCAGCTTGTCTCCGATTGGAGTTTGAGATTAGACCTTTCAATTCGGTTTATGAGTTTATTTTTAGATTTATTTTCAATAATTCGAACCGTTAATTTGTAAAACTCTTCGAGTATTATATTATTGTAAAAAATCACATTGATCAGATATCGATAACTATTTGATCGGATTAGATTTATGTTAACTATTTATTTTTTTACTATTCATTTTTTTATATAAGACTATCTGATCAAAAACTATCGATATCCAATCAACGTGTTGTTTTACAAAAATATAGTACTTGACGAGTTCTACACATTGAACGGTTTAAATTATCGAAATGGGACCCACAAATAGGTCCATAGGCTAGACTAGACGGTCTAGTCTTAATTTTTAACTGGAGACATGCTGGACCATTGTGGATTTTTGTAAAAGATGAAAAAAAATTAATGAAATATGTTGGGTGATAAAAATCATTTTCCTTAATAAATACGTGTGAGATCATGTGGGAGAGAAAATTTTAATAAAAAATAGAATTAGATGTAATATTTTATCTTGATAATAATCCAATACTCCTTTTTATTTATTTATTTATTATTATTAATATCACTTTTTGCCCACCCTTTTTAATTAGGGTTGGCCATGTGATATGATTGATTATTACAGCAAATTTAGTTACAATAATATTTCTTTATTTATAATTATGGTAAATTTTATTTGTTTAGAATGTGAAAGAGGTTAATACTTAAGGGTCTCGCTCTATATCTCTTTATTCATTTCTTCCACAAGATGGGATTTGCGCTTAGATTTTAAGGAAAATAACAAATCAGTTAAAGTTCTCGCTACATTTCTTAATTTTGTTCCTTTAATTTCACTCATAATGTCGTGACTAACGCCCATTGAAGTGATCTCTCACTTCTCTATCTCTCATCTTTAATCCCCTTAATACCACATCAATGGAGGTAAAATTGGGAGGGACAAGATTATAGGGATGGATAATTTTTCTTAATATAAATAATAATATGTGAGTTATTGTGATCTCTTTATTTAAAAATATAATACCCATTATTATGATGCATAATGGTGTACGAATAAAATTTTTATATAAAAAATACATACAGTATAACATGGCACTTTGCGATCATTTTATTTCTAACTAAAATACTAACTTCAATACCTTATAATTAATTACAATATGTCACTGTCATATCATTTTATACACTTTATATATGCAAATTATATTTTGCTCTCCCCAATTATCTCTAGGTTCAAAAAACATAATGGCATTAAAAGAAAAATGGTAAATGTGATTGAGTTGAAGGCTTCTATTATTTGGCCGAAAAGACACAATAAGATAAAAAAAAGGAAATATGAAATTAAAAAAAAAATAACAAAAAAAAAAAATTGTAATTTAATGGTTTGCAAGCAGGACTGTTAATAAATCAAACTAGTTAAGTTCGACTCATGTTCGGTTTGTTTACAACTTGCTCAAGATTAACTTGGTACGTATACAAGTCAAAATTAAACAAAATTTTAAATTTGTTATGTTTTTAAATCAAGTTTGAAAAACTCTATTATTCAACTTGATAAATGCATAAGCATTATAAAAAATAAACTATTCGAGATCAACTCTTGTTCGACTTATTTGAGATCTACTTGTTATATGAATAAGTCAAATTTAAACATATTTTGAAACTTGTTAAAATTTTAAATTAAGCATAAACGATCCACCATTCGGCTCGACTCGCAACTTATTTACATCTCTAACTGCAAGTGAAAAGTGTGAATTTTTTTAGAAGATCACGTGATCGTATACCTAATTAAAAATGTTTTTTTTTTTATTTATATATAAATGAGATAGGGAAGCAAACGAGGAATATGCAGAGCAAATGAGGGGGGTGGTGGAGAAGTTGTTCAAGTGGTTGTCATTAGGCATTGGGCTAGAAGGGGATGAGTTCAACAAGGAGCTAGGTGGGGATGAGTTGGTGCACCTTATGAAGATCAATTATTACCCACCATGTCCTAGACCTGACTTGGCACTTGGTGTGGTGGCTCACACTGACATGTGTGCACTCACCATTCTCGTACCAAATGAAGTCCCAGGATTACAAGTCTTCAAAGATGATCACTGGTACGATGTCAAGTACATCCCCAATGCCCTCATTGTTCATATTGGTGACCAAATTGAGGTAATTTCTTTTTCTTCCAATGTATGTAATTTGGATTGGAAGGCATTCACCGGATCCTCATTATGCGTTCTATTTTAATAATTCGAACTTGATCTTGTAGGGTCTTTCACGTATATCATTTAAAAATAAAATAAAAATAAGTCAATCTAATAATCATAACTTATTCAATTTATTATATTAGTGTTAAAAAAATGAACGACAAATGTGTTTTTAAAAATATACTGTTCTTCTTTTTTTGTGACAAACACTACGGAAAAATATACTTTCGGCGATTAAAAATGCCGCATAAAACAAATTTGGTTGCCAAAGGTACACACTTTAGTTACTAAAAATATTTTCATCAGTATGTATTCTACTTTTGATGACTAATTAAGGTTTAGTCGTTGAAAATATGGTTTTGGGTGACCTAAAGTAAAAATTGGTCCCCAAATGTACAATCATTCGCTACTAAAAAGTATTTCAGTCGGCATTTAGTTCGCTTTTGGAGACTAATTGAGTTTTAGTAGTCGGCGACTAAGAAAAAATTGGTCTCTAAATGTATAATCTTTAGCTATAAAAAATAATTTAGTCGGCAGTTATCTTACTTCTAGCGACTAAAGTCTAGTCACAATGGTAATTAAAGTTTTGGAGGAAGGATTTCGAATTTTGGAGGGATTCCTAAACGATTTAGCGACTAAATTTTTGAGTTGTTCGGGAAAAGAATGGGTTTATTTCTTATTGGTGACTAATAGAAAGTGGTTGGGAAAAAAATAAACCGCGTAAACTAGGTCGAAGGTCGATTTGTCTCCCTCTCTCACTCACGTCTCCTCTCTGTCGCTTTGTCTCCATCATTGTCTGTTATTGGAGCATCACCGCAAGGGTTACACAAGCACCACCATCGACCCCAGACATGTCCTCTATTTCGCCCTCTCTCTCTCTCTCTCTCTCTCTCTCTCTCTCCATGTCCCTCTCTCTATCTTCTTCCATTCATATACCTTCACACCCAGCCCCAAGCATCTTTTCCATACTAAATCTATGAGGATGTTGGTCACCTGTGACTCAAAAGAATTATCTACTGCAAATTCCCATCAACAAACATAGCATGGATTCCCATTGATTTCTGTTAATTGAATCACCCACAAAAACTAGCCTCTTCCCTCTGATCAATCCCAGCATTTTTGTTGCATTGAACCTAAGAAAAATAACAATTTTGGGAAAGTTAGTTAAAAACTGATTTTTTGGCCTTTTGTGAAAAAATATGTAAAAAAATATAGAGGTGATGTGACCCAAAATAGGTTAAAAGCCAAACCAAATTCCCAAATTAGGATAGTTTGATAAGTTGTTTTCCCAAATCTGCTCCCTTATTGATCTCAAAAAAATATGGTTCTGAATCAAATGGTAAAGCCGTTAGCAATCAAGAATCACCAAATTCATTATTTACTTCACAATGCAGTTTCAAATAAATCATAGAAAAGACAATGACTTATTTCAAATGAATCATAGTTGTCAAGTCACCAATTAAATCTGACCTAACAATGTATATCAAGCTAACACTCCCTCATGTGTGACCTCGTCTCACACATGGAGAGATAAACAGACCAAAAGATAAGATGCACGGCAACAGACAGATCAAAGTACTTCCTAAAACCAAAACTTACCATGTTAAGTCACCAAATGTCCCAAAACTTAAACTGTCATAAAATAGGCCCAAAAATATACAGCAAGCTAATATCAATAATAGAAAAGAAAACCAGATAGAACCTTGGAATGTCACAATCTTGTGGCTGCCACCTCCACTTCATGTACTCTTTATCCAACCTGCCATTACCTTCACAATTAACCAAAATCAATGGTTAACTTGGTTTTCCCTCGTAGAAGCTTTTTGCTCAAAGAGGGAATTTTTATACATTTACGCTCTGTTTCAATTGATGTAAAATAATTTACTTTGTAAAATCTTTTTATTGTAAAATAATTGTTATCCCCCTATTCCTTAGTTTTGGTGCATGCATTTTAAGAACTTGTATGTAGTCATAGTATTTCACTAGACAGTTGTGGCATACAGAGAAGGATCTAAAAATCGAAACAGAACAGAAATAATTAACATTTTAGCAGTAAGAGGAGGCAAGTCTGGGTTGCAGAGACTAGGATTAATCTTATCTAGGAGGTTGGTATCCAATTTAAACTCTAGAAAATGATAGAAACTAAATAGATCAAAGTATATATAGATAGACAGACAAATAGATAGGCTGAAAAGTATATTCAAATAGGAATGGGGTCCAACTGGAAGCATAGGAATGAGGTGGTTTTTCAGGGCTCTCAACCTGATCTGTATGGTTTATGTGATAAAATTAAAACCAGAGTGCCATTGTGAGTGAGAGCACCTTTTTCTGTGAATGATTGTCTTTAACCTACGGATTGACCTTTTTTTTTTTGTTTTTTTTGTAGATGATATATATAATAAATTAAACAAAGTTCACGGTTCAAAACATCAAAATAGAACCTATGGTGGATTCCATAGGTCCGGACAGCATCATCCAGTCCAGATTATAAACTGGAGGGAAGCCCAGTTCATATTGCATAAGATTCTATTAAGGGGTCGATTCCTTTATGAATGAACCATTTTACATTTGGTTTTTGTCTAATTCCTCAAAACACACACGCACATATTATCAATTGGACTAGTTGACATTGTGTGCAAAAATTAAATGACAAAATTGATGCAACTAAATCTGCAGGGATCAAATTACAGCAGTACTACATCCAGACAAAATCTTCCCCCCAAACACCCCAATGACGTGGCAAGGTTGATTGGAAAGTTTTGAGAGAAGAGACGAGTGTAGGAATGTGGATCATTAATTTGTCATTTTCTTGCCACGTCATTCAGGAGAGTTCGTGGAGGAGATTGTGAGGATGAAACATTTTTCATCAAATTGTGACAGAACATAAGAGATGAATTCCCAACTAATTTTTATTGTATTTTAATTTTGTTTAACAGATATTAAGCAACGGAAAGTACAAGGCTGTGTTTCATAGAACGACAGTGAACAAGGACACAACAAGAATGTCATGGCCAGTGTTTTTGGAGCCACCAGAAGAGCTTGAAGTTGGTCCCCATCCAAAGCTTGTTAACGATGATGATAACCCACCCAAATTTAAGACCAAGAAGTACAAGGATTATGTCTACTGTAAGCTCAACAAGCTTCCCCAGTAAAAACAAAAGCTACCATTTGAGCTTTGCAATGTCATGTTTTGCCTATGAGGTGTATCATTAACAGTACTAATGCGTATGTGTGTTTTACTCCTACTTGTATGCAATGTCTTGGATGCCAAATAATTTTACGATGTAATCGTTATTATTTTATCATATTTTACTTATCGTTTTATTAATATATCATGATTACATTGATTTAATGGGTCATGCCATTTTTTATTTATTGTCAATAATACAGTGATAACATTTTTATTTTTTATTTTTTATAATCCATGGATAATCACATTGTTCATGTGCAAATGCTGCATTTATTTTGTGTTTTAGAGGCGAATTCAATGAATGGTTCTAGCTAGGAGGTACCAAGCCATAGGTTTTAGTTTAGCCCCAAATTGAATTGACCAAAAGAAAAAAATAAAAAAAATACCCATTGTTGGTAGAATATGCTAATTTCCAGAATATTAAAAAATAATAATTAAAAATAAATGTTTGTAATTTAGGGAGACTTTTAAAATTATGAAATTTGTAATTTCAACCAAAATTTATAAAGTTTCAATTAATTAAGTCTCTTCATAATTGTGGTAGAAACAAATAAAACACACTTTATGCATGTTATTCTAAAGTATTGATTCAACATGTTCAATAATATTCTCATATCAATAAGAGTAAGACCAGCTAGTTATAAATTTTTACTAGTTATGGATACTGTAAGATAAATTGATGAAGAGAGAATAAATTGTATGTATTGATAGATATTGAATCTGTATGACACAAGGAGCAGCTCACTCTCTTTTATAGAGAGGAGAGTGTTGTACATAGGATGCCAAATGCACCGAAAGCAAAAGCAATAAACATTACAATAAACATTTTACTTTACATGTATATAATATATGCTAATGTATGACAGTTATATATGACACTAACATTATAATACACTAACAGCCCCCTCAAACTCAAGGAGGAGAGACACAAACCAACTTGAGTTTGGAGAGAGTAACAAAACGTGAAAATAAAATAAAAATAGGATAGGAGACACTGTATGGTCGTGTCAGATCGTTGTTGAAGACACGGTATGGTCGTGTCACACCGTTGGAGAAGACACTGTATGGTCGTGTCGGACCGTTGTAGCAGATAAGGTCTGGACAGTTTACGAGATCATGCCGGACCGATGTAGAAGCTAATCGGAATCAATGTCGAGACAGTTTACAGGGTCATGCCGGACCGTTGTAGAAGCTGACCGGAATCAATGTCGGGACAGTTTACGGGGTCATGCCGGACCAATGTAGAAGCTAACCGGAATCAATGTCGGGACAGTTTACGGGGTCATGCCGGACCGATGTAAAAGCTGACCGGAATCAATGTCGGGACAGTTTACGGGATCATGCCGGACCGTTGTAAAAGATTGTGGTGGTGCACCAAGGGGGCGACTTAGGGAGTGCACCATGGGGTGGCTTGAGTGGTTCCCATGGTGTATAACCATGCTCACCAGCTTGGGTGGTTCGCATGGTGTGTAACCATGTTCACCATGATATATGCATAACCCCCCCTCAAACTCAAATAGGTGTGAAGATAGAAACCGATTTGAGGTTGAAACAAAGGGATTAATAAAGTGGAGTAAAACAGCTCAACACAGAGTGAAGATGTGAAAAAAAAATGATAGAAAGGGTTTTTGTTTTTTTTTGTTTTTTTTTTTGTCGGTTGTGGTGTAAAATTGTAATCGGGGTTGATCCCGGCATGAAGAAATGACAAGTTTGTGGAATGAAAAACGAGTTAGTTGTGAATGGATTTTTTGTTTTTTTTGGAATAAAAGCAGCCATCATTCAATAATGCAGTTGCTAAAGAGAAATATTAAAAAACAGTGGTGGAAAGAAAAGTTTAAAAGAAATGATGGGAAAGAAAAATAAATGTGTTTTTTTTTTTTTTGAAATAATAATAATAATAATAATATATAAAATAAAGTGTTGGAATCCACTGGAATCAATGAAAGCTAGTATAATATATTGTAGTGGGGAAAAGAATGATGGGTATGTTGATTATAAAATAAAATAAAAATGGGTAGTGGAGAAGATGAGTGTAAAGAAAAGTTTAGTGGAAATAGTGTGTCTGGTATTTGTTTGTGGCCACGTCTTTGGCAGATCAAACACTTTGGGAAAAGTTTAAAGAAAAGTGTAAAATATGAGGGGAGAATGGGGACAAGCCCATGTGAGTGAAAGATGGGCTTAAAGAAAGTGAGGGATGTGGGCGGTGGATGTGTTGGTATGTGTGGAACTAGTCCCGCGCGGGCTGCTGACATTGCTAAGCTTTGAAGTGATGCCTCCAAATGTTGAAGGCTTTGAGAGAGAGACTGGCGAGGATGAACAACAGGATGTCCCATTTTGAGATCTTTCAAGTCGTTGATGAATCCTTAGAGTATCATGATAGACTCTCTGATCTAATTTTGGGTTTGGGTTTGAGTTTTACTGTGGGTGGAGAGAGGTGTGGGAAGGAGATGATGACCGGTTTCCATGGTGGTCATGAGCTCATAGATTGCAAGACGGATCGTGGATGATAGTGTGCATGTCACACGTTCAACTTGGCGAGTGTGTCAATGAAGACGGCAAACCAGCTAGCAGAATGGCGGCGTAACAACGGTTGGAGCAGGTCAGCAGCACAGTGCCGACTGCCGTGAGCAAGTGGATGAGACTGGTAGGCCGCGGGTGGAGAAGGTTAGGGTGGCGCAATGGTTGCAGCAGCGATGGAGGTCGCTAGAGGGGAGGGCACTGGTAGCGGCGGCACGGTGCTTCTGCGGAGGAGGAGCACAACTTGCTGACTGAGGAGCTGGATGGGGTTGATGATTAAACTGATGAGGGTGTTTTACGGTGGCAGATGTGGTGCTTCTGCGGTTGCTGTTGCAGTGATTATTAGCGGTGATTGGAGTGGTTGAGTTGGTCAGATCACGGCGTCGGTGGCTGTCGTGTGGGCCGACGGAGTGCTCGACGACGTGGGTAAGATCTATGTTGTAACAAAGCTGCAACAAGAAATAGTGATGGTTCACGGTAGCAAGAAATGTGGCAGCGGAATGAAGATATGTGTAGAGGTCCAGCGGGCGGCCAAGGTGAGGTTGCCGCCCGCCGGTGAAGCAGAATTACTAAGTTAAGAACCGAGCTCTGATACCATGTAAGATAAATTGATGAAGAGAGAATAAATTGTATGTATTGATAGATATTGAATCTGTATGACACAAGGAGCAGCTCACTCTCTTTTATAGAGAGGAGAGTGTTGTACATAGGATGCCAAATGCACCGAAAGCAAAAGCAATAAACATTACAATAAACATTTTACTTTACATGTATATAATATATGCTAATGTATGACAGCTATATATGACACTAACATTATAATACACTAACAGATACAACAAAAATTTATTAGCTCAAGTCCTCTAATTCTTTGGAGACTGGATGATGACCAAACTGCCCCTGCCCTTCCCAAGACTAACACGCAAAAAAATGGCAGTAACATACATGGAATTATCCCCATCGGGTAAATTTGAAGTATCACTTTTCTAATTGATGGGTCTTGGAGATCCACTGCCCAAGATGCAGGTATAGCATGGATTTGCTTGGATGACAACAACCAGCAAGAGGCTCAACAAGCATCAGCAGCTCATTCACTACCTTCTCCATTGGTGGCTGATGCTAAGGCTTGTTTGGAAGCTATTGGGTGGGCAACAGGCAAGGGTCTTAGGAAGTTTTGGTAAAAATGCTTCAATGAAAATCCATATTTGATTGGAGTTAAACATATTATTGATGATATCAAATACTATAGCCATTTTTTTTGTTATCTTAGTATAGGAAGGAATGTAATTAAACCAGTCCAGGCACTGACAACTGATATAATTAGTTTGTATGGTTAATATTATGCAGTTCTTAGTCCTCCAAAAAAAAAATCTCCTTTCTTTAATATTCACTGGTAATTCAATTATCTAGCAAAATGATATTAAGTTAATTAGACTATGCAAGATTAGGGCATTTAATCTAGTAATTGTGTAACACCTTTTGCGGTGTGAAGTCTCGGATTCAACTCATATGGAGCAAAATTTGATACCTTTTATACTATTGTGGGCTAATAGTCTGTTTAATGATATAAATATTTCTCCATATAGTAAGGCCCCGTTTAAGAATTAATATTTTAAATTTTTACAAAAAGATGTATCAAAAAATAAAGAATGATGTCACAACCTATAATAACTTTTAAAGTTTTTGACTATAAATCTCACTCCCCAAACATAGCCTAAATTTATAATAATGTTATGGCACTTTGTGATTTTTATTATAACACTTTGTGACTTTTATTATAGTATTTTATTTTGTAGTGAAAAAAATTGTCATATTTTGTGTTTATGTTATGAAATTTTACGATAAAATAATTAAAGAAATACCATATACACATTTTTTAGAGTGCATGTTATAATCTCTCCCAATATATATATATATATATATATCTGTGTGAGTGTGTGTGTTCAAACACAGAAACATTTAGTGTTGTATATCCAAAATAGATAAATGAAGCAATATACAGGAGTAAATATAAGGATTAAATATAAAACCAACAAATCCAGTCACACAACACAAAATTCCATCACAACACCTCCCAATATATATATATATATATATATATGTATATGTTCAAACAGAGAAATATTTATAGAGTTGTATATCCAAAATAGGTAAATGAAACAATATACAAAAGTAAATATAAGGATTAAATACAAAACGAACAAATCCAGTCACACAACACAAAATTCAATCACAACATAATCAATATGCACATCCTCTTTCTCCTTTACTCAAATCCCTTCATAACAATTTGATTTACCTCTCTCTCTCTCTCTCTCTCTCTCTCATCAACTCTGCTTCTTTCTTCTTCCATCCCCTCATCTACATTCTCTTCTGTCAGTCAATTTAGTGCAACCGAAGAGTGAGGTGAAGAAAGAGAATAAAAGTGAAAGATAACCCAGAATTACAAAGACAATGGTGTAGAAATGATATGCATCTACAATAATGAAAAGGGTGAAGTTTCGAAAACTTTTTGAGCGATGAGAGAGAGAGAGTGAGAAAGAGAGAGCGGCGACAACAAAGGTGAAAGAGAAAGAGACGCCGACAACTAGATAGACGTCACATGAGACAGCGACCACAACTAAGGCAAAAGCGACAGATGAAACTACGTCA